AGTTTGGCAACCACCGCGCCACTTTGGACCGTCAACAGAGCGACTATAAGTGGCGCAGCAATCGACACGGTGTGGTAAACGGCTCTCCCGCATGGCGCAAGCAACCCTATCATGGTGCTGATCATGGCCGTGACGCAGCGCACGGCGAGTCCGAATAGCATGACCGGCGGGCCACAAGATGACCTTCCCTCCCTCCTCCCATTTCTCCGGGCCCACTAAAGGAGAACTGCGACCCGGAGGTTTGTTCTCCAAACACCAATTGCAATAATACAGACATCACCATCGTTCCTTTCTCTCTCGTCAGCTCACTCTGATTGTATGGTATTACTGCTCGCATGGCCATTATCATAACAAGCCAAACTGCCTGCGGAAGGCTGCTCTGTGGAGAGAGAGTCCCAAATCGACGGCTCTGAGCACGCGTCCCGTCGCCCTCGGCTCTGCGCACCCCGGACTCCGGGTTGGTTCGGCACGAGACCACCCCGAGCTGGCTCCAAGCGGTGGGAGGCCGCCCATTGTTCGAACTGTCGGGGTTTCACAAAACGATGAAGCCATCGAGTCGGCGTGACGGCGGACGCGTCGGCGCGACGACAGAGCTCCAGCAGGCCGGCCGAGGCGCACAATACCGCCCTGGCGCCGGACGCGACATGTGGCACGCGCGCGGCAGCTCCCTTCTCCCTACACCTGTCGTGATGCCACGCGAGAGTCAGCGCCCATGACAGCTCGCCACAGTCGGATTGCGAGAAAATGGAACGATGGGGGACACGGTGGTCTGACGCGAAAGAACACAGGTTATGCTTTCGGATGTTCGAATGTCGGAACGCACCTACCGCGGCGCTCAGTCGGATCCCGGCACCCATTGTCATCTCGCGGACGACGGGGAAAACGGGACGACAATCCTGGGAACGCGACAGCGTTTATCGTTGACCGATCGAAAACGCCGCGTCCGTGAGACCCGAGCCACGGCGGGGCGACGGCAGACGACAAATTATATCGGACCTGAGCCACGGGACGCATTACTGTACCATTATCGAGGCGCACACTCAGTGATCCTACGCTATGTGACGACCACAGTTAGCGTATCGAGGTGAAAACACCCAGTGATGCACATAGCCGTGACGATGCCCGTGACGGCGCCTGTGACGGCGGGCGTGACTCGGATCGTCGCCGGAGCAGCAGCCGTTACGTCACCGGCAGGTACCGCAGAGCGTCAGCCCAGCGAGCGACTTGGTGGATAGATGGTCACAGCAGCGGCGCCCGGGGAAAGTTACCGCCCCATTCAGAGCTGCTCATACACCGTGAGCCGACGGTCACGGTACGACTATAGCCGGTGCTTTCTTCTGCACCAGATCAGGCTGAGGCATGTAATACGTAGTTAGACAAATACTGGGAATAGCTATACATATACATAGAGAGCGTGCATCAGAACTACGCACCATTCGGTTTCACTGTTATGCTTTCAGGAAGTATTACTACTTTCCTTTACATTTGAATACAATATCAGAAATTGGTGAATGTTACAGAAAAAATATATTCCTAAGATAAATGAAAGGACACCCAAACACTCAAGTACGCTGATGGCACAAGACTAAATGATAAAAAGAAAACAAAAACATTTTAGTCGTGCATTGTTTCGAATATAAAGCATTTGACCTCCACGTCCGTCGACTCTTTCGACTCAACCAACCTCAAGGCCATCCATCTATACAGTGCGTAACTAACTAGCAACATAAAACAAAAAAATCTATGTTTCGCTATCGTGCAAACGCAAGGTCCAATGGTTCAACTCGACACCAATTCCTGAACGTGCCGGACGCACATGGAAACCGACCATGAAACGATGCAGGTGACGGATAACAAACATTCCCAAACCATTCAGTAAGCAAAAAAAGCTGCACCTCCATGCCGCCACTGGCCAGTCCTGGTGGATATGCGTTGGATATGGCGATCTAGCCGATCACATATCTGCCAAGGCTTTGTGACTGCAGTGGGGGGTGTAACATGCGATGTGGCAGCTCACACCAGCCGGCTGGGAGGGGTGGAGTGGTGACTGGGGAGACGGTGGTGCGCTCCAGTGGCGGCGGAATAGGGGGTGCAGGGGGTGCAGCTGCACCCCCATCGAAAAACATGAGGGTGCAAACATATCTTTTTGCACCCCCAAAATCCGTACAAGGGGCCCATCGCACCATCCAATAAATTTTGTCCTGAAAACCAGTGATCGGGAAACGAACACTGATGTGGAATTATCCGGGATGTCCAATTATGGTCAGGAACGCCCCATGCTAGTCTTTGGGGCCCCCACACCGGCTAGAAGTGTCCCGAGCCGCATTTGGTGCTCCATGCGGCATCTGGGCCTCAGAGGGCCCTTTTATGACGATCTCTGAGGGCTCCCACGACAACCTCTGTCCCCTGGGGCCCTACAACGGCCACTAAGGGCCCTCATGACGACCGCTGAGGATCCCACAGAGACTCCAGGGCCCCAAGGAGACTCCAGGGGCCACGCTGGCCTCTGAGGGCCCTTATGACGGCCTCTGAGGGCCCTTACGATGATCTCTGAGGGCTCCCACGACGACCTCTGTCCCCTGGGCCCTATAACGACCACTAAGGGCCCTCATGACGACCGCTGAGGGCCCCACAGGACTCCAGAGGCCCCGCTGGCCTCTGAGGGCCTCTACGACGGTCTCTGTGGGCCCATTTGGCTTCAGACGGCCCAGCGACGGCCTCTGAGGGCCCCAACACAACCAGGCTGCAGGGGCTATGATGGCATCTGAGGGCCCTGCAACGGTCTATTGAGGGCCCTAACGATGGCCTCTAGCGGTCTTAACAAGGCCTCTGAGAGCCCTGCAAAGGTATCTGAGGGCCCATGAAGACCCTCACTGTGGCCAAGGACCCTCATGACGACCTCTGATGATCCTCTCGAAGGCTTCTAAGGGCCCTCACAACAACTTCTGAGGACCCCAGGACGGTTCCTGAGGGGCTGAGGGCCCTGACGACGACCTCTCTGGGCCCTCCCTCACGATGGTCTCTAAGACCCAACGCAAGCTCCAAAGGCCCACGCTGGCGTCTGAGGGCCCCACGACGGCCTCTGAGGGCCTCGACGCAGGCAGGCTCCAGGGGCTATGCTGACCTCTGAGGGCCCTCTTGACGGCTTCTAGGGCCTAACGAAGGCTTCAAGGGCCAACGCTGGCCTCTGAACAACCCTAGCCTCAGAGAGTCTCAACTCTCAACTCAACGCAGGCAAGTGCCAGGAGACATGCTGGCCTCTGAGGGCCCCGCAGAGTTCAGATTCAGAGGACCCAATGACCTTTGTGGACCTTACGAAATACGAAGGTCTCCGAGGGCTCACGCAGGCTCCTGGAATTCCGCACTGATTCTCAGGCCCCATGTCGGCTTGTTGAGGCACTTAATCTTCTCTTGGTGCCCCGTCGCCGGCCTCTGAGAGTCTCAGTCATGGGTCCTACACCGGCTTTTATGGCCCCTACATCGACTCTTGGGACTCATGACCATTGACCCATGAAATGTGGGTCTAAGCAGCTTCTAAGAATCCCCATGCTGGTTCTAGTAGCCGCCAGCCGAATATTTGGGCTCACTTGCGAGCTCCTGGGACCCCGTGCATACCTCAGGGGTCTACCTGCCTCTAAGACCCCACACATACTTTTGGGGCTCAAACGCTTGCCCCTGAAGGGACCCCTTTCTTCTATTCAGTCCTCCATACCGGCTCTTTAGGCTAAACATCGGCTCCTGTGGCCTCCATCCCAACTTTGGAGGGCCTCCATACAGGCTTTTTGGGGGTCAGATGCCGGCTTCTGAGAACCCTCAAAAGACTTTCGAGCCTATACTGCCTTCTGAAACATTTAGCAACTTTCAAGGGACCGACCCTGGGAGGGCTCATTCAGTCTGGGGAGTCATGTAGGTCTCTGGAGGAGTCTCTATGTGGTCGGTTTCCAAGGGGCTTCTAAGCACGGTCTTCTTGGAACGGTCTCGTAGGGCCCTCAATGGTCCACTGCGGATCTACAAAAATGGTTTGAGACGCTGCGGGTGGTGGCTAGACAGTGGCGCGGGAACTTCTTCCAGACTGGGGGGGGGGGGGGGTTGAACCATAATAGAGATCAACCTAGGGTACCCCCAAATCTAGTTTTATCACCGGTTTTAGGCCACTTATTTTTTCAGACTTTGGCCTTTTCAACAACAACAAAAAAAAAACGAAAAAAATGCAAAAAAGTGAGGCATTCCGTCTCAGCTGAGTGAAGAAACTACCGTTTTGGCAACCTGGAGTAAAGGTTTTAATCTGCCAAATGAGTTGCCAAGCCAGTGAAAGAGGTGGATTTTTCACTTAAATGCTTTCTTCCTTTGTGACCCACAACCCCTAATTTGGGGAGGACAAGCTGCCCAACGGTTCCTGACCTCATGAAAAGTTGTGGGGCACCGCCCCCAGGGCCGCAGAGTTATGGGGGCACACTTCCCCCACTGCCCCTCCCCCGGTTCCCGCGCCTATGTATGAATCTATGAAATTATGTTGGTAGATTTCCGATTTCAATTCCTCCAGCTGGGGGTTGGGGCCGGGGGGCTCAAATACATTACGAGCCCCTCAGCCGAAAAGCTGGGGGGCTCAGCCCCGCTGGCCCCCCCCCCCCCCCCCGGTTCCCGCGCCACTGTGGCTAGACTAAAAGATTAGCCGATAAAAAACTAGCTGCATTTGCTTCTTTATGCTTTCATTATTTGATATAGGTAGGTACACTGCAATTTCAAACATTTTACAAAACTTTTGTGTATGGGATAGTTTCCCAAAACCTTTGTGTTTCATAAATCAATAATAATCACTCAAAAAAAAAAAAATGAAGGGGGCCCAAAACTTCCAGAGGGGCCCCTTGAGAAAACTTTGCACCCCCATCCAAAATTACCTTCCGCCGCCACTGGTGCGCTCTGGTCACTGCTACACACAACATACGATCGGGGCGGGGTGGGGGGAGGGGGAGGTCAAACGGTCATGCACCACCACCAACCTTCCTGGTGCGGGGCCGTGTCGGTGTGACCGGGAAAATCTGCCGACAGGGGAGTCGGTTCAGAGACGGAGCGCAGCCAGTCCGGTCTGTTAACACCACTCACAAGACAAAGTTCTATAGGCCAACAGAGCGAGTTAGGGTTAGGAGACGAGTCTGATATTACAGCTGCAAGTATAACTTTTGAAAAGAAAGTGGTCGAGTTAACACAGTAGAGCGAAACAGCACTGGAGAGTGGATAATGATTTACGAGAATAATTATCATCACGAGCTCTACTCTAGTACTTTCCGCATTACAACCCTCACCTTCATACACCATTGTCCCATTGACATTACACCCGCCAGAGACATCAGCCCGTTACCGGCCACTCCATATAAGACCCGTCCCAATTAAAGCAGTCCGTCTGTTTGTCTGGCGACAATAAGTCGGTGCTTTGTCGGTGCCGTTTCCCGGCGGCTGTGAGGTGCCGCTCTGGCCCTCTTTGATGAGTGGTATGACCTCGCCGGGCTGCGGTACGGTGTCCGTGACGGAGGCGATACCGCCTCAGCTGCAGTGACGGCCGTCACCCCGCAGAGCGGGACGCCCCGCCGCGGCCGACCCTCTCCCCCTATAGCGGGGGTATTACCACCGGAGAGAACCGTGACGAACGGGGGGGGGGGGTAGACGGTCGGCAGAATAACACAGGAAGGGCGAAATAACACAGAAATATTCCGTCAGTCACGTCAGCTGTCAAAATTCGCACCATCCAAGCAAATGGTTATGACTTACTGAAAAACTGAGCCATAAAGGTGACGTTCACCGCTCGTTATATATTGCTTATTGAACGATGATTTCACTGAATCATTTTAACGATGGTGTGATGTTTGCAAGAACTCATCAAACCTTTTCTTCTTGTATCATTGCTGATAGACTGATGTTTTCAGCAATAAACTGCAACATACCAAAAGCCAGGTGCTTGTCCTGCCCCGTCAAGATATGATGGCTATTAGATTTATGACCCAAACGATTAATAGCAAACTTCCTAACGTTACCGCTGACTAGCAATCAAATACGTAATGACAGTGGCCAAGTAGCCATTACATGGGACAGTTCCAGTGAATCAATTTGTCAACGCTCAACGACAAACGGGTTTTGTCAGAGTGTTCTGCGGTTAGGTACTTATGAACAGAAACATCATTATGAGACAATGTCAGCGACATGAATATTGAGCAATGATGTCATCGTCATGCTTTGTTTGGTGTTATTGATTACATATGGCGCAGAAATAAATCTATCACATGCAGGTCATTCGGTCCAACGAAAGTGCGACAAAATCGGAACGAATGGCGCCCAAAACTTCCAGTACTTGATATCATAGTGTATGCATGACTACAAGTTCCAGCACACCTGAGCGACCAAGCGTTCAACGTTGCATCTTCGTTGTCGTAGGCTTGGAAGACCTTTACTGCAAGGTGGTAAATGCGCATATAATTTGCATATAAGCAAGCATGGGAGTGAATATCAGACACCGTGGGACAGAAAGTGTGAGAACCCCTGATCCAGTGTTGTAAGTAAGCTGAAAGGTCGGGCACCAAGAGGTCGCGCCGGTCACTCGGGTCAGACACTCAGTGTGTCGCTCGGACACCCGGAGTGCCTCTGGGTCACTCACCGCCATCTCCTCGCTGCGGTAGGCGGTGAGCGTCTGCTCGTCCTGCAGCAGGACACAGAAGTAGGGCTCCCAGCTGAGCAGCGGCACGCCGTCCTGGTGCACCTTCTGACTGCCCACGTGGCCCAGACGTACCGGACGGTCTGTCGGCAGAGGGGGACGGACGGCGGTCAGGGCGGGGGAGAGACAGAGGGGCGGCGGTCAGGGCGGGGGAGAGACGGAGGGGGCGGCGGTCAGGGCGGGGGAGAGACAGAGGGACGGCGGTCAGGGCGGGGAGAGACAGTGGGGGCGGCGGTCAGGGCGGGCGGGACGGGGCACGTCAGGTCACAGGTCAGACTACCGTACACATTACACAGGTCCGGTCAGACTGTTATACGAATGGGGTATCTACTATCTGCAGGGAGAGATTTACGTGAAATATGTTTGTGTGATGCGACATTCATTACACACATATGACGTATGTGGTAATTTCAGACACATTTGACTCAGGAACAGGGATGATCTACAACGGCCCAACACAGAGTTGTTATCCTTCACACGTTTACCAGTCTCAGCAGCGCAGCGCTGATATGCTGCCACCTAGTGAATTACCAGTGAACTAGCCCACTACACTAGCGCCACCCTGAGCGCCACCACCCTCGGTGGAGCTAGGGCTACTACCAACAACAGGGCGATGTAGCGTAATCTGGACCGAAAATAGAACATGCACTGTGTGCAGCATTTATGAATCCTCTACCAACGTATGCAGGTGGTCTAACATGTGACCTGAAATATCATGCACCAATGGTGCAGGTGCTTCACCTACGGCAAGCCAAAATAGTGAGTCGGCCACGGGCGGTGCTTGGATAGACAGACACAGCGCTAACACCTAGCGGTCGAACTGTGAACTAACGCTTCCGAAAGCTGACCAAGTGACTGCAGTGGCAGCAGCAGCGCTAGCCCTGGAGAGTGCAACACGGGATGAGAGAGTAACACTGGAGACCGCAGCGCAGCACAGGCCACTAACACTGAAGACCGTAGCGCAGCACAGGCTGCTAGCACCGCGCAGCCGGGCTGCTAAACTCAACCCGCGAAAACAAGACTTGTTATCATTCATCATGGCCAAATTCCACCAATTCAAATTAGTTTTTAACAAGCCATTTAGTTAAGTATGCCATTAGTTTGAATTGTTATCTCATGACATTTCATTTTATACAATATTTTATTACATCACTCAGTTGCTTGTTGACTTTGATTCCGTGTATGCCATAGTTCATTTTGTAAAAGGCTATGTCGAGATTAACCAAGAAAGTTGGTAACTGGACTGAAAAGGTGTCACTGCAAAATGTAGTAACGCTTTTATGCAATAAATGTCAATGGAAGATTACCAGTCATATCGCGGTATGTGTAACCTTTACATGTTCCGTTACATGTTCCCCGGTCAGCTAAAGCAGAAAGTATCTGGGCAAAATGCAAGTTAAGTCTCAAGTTGACTGCCGTGACTTGTGTTCGATCATGATCTCGGCAATCAGGAAAGCCGCTTGGACTTTCCAAAGAGAAATAACAGGCAAGTGCGCTATCGAACCACGTTTGACAGCTCCGAGCTCGTGTTCTAGCGGCGAACCAGTCGATAATTTGTCGTCTAGATTAGCGGCCGGTTCGGGTTTTTGACTGCCTGATCAGCCAAAGTGTCCCGACAGCGAGCAATGTGTGTCATTGCTCTCCTATTTCCTCCCCTAACCCGTTCCAATTTGGCCCTTGTCGCTACCGAACTCGACGAGAGCATTGAGCACTGGCAATGAATCAATGTCCCTGAAGACTGGCCGATTCCTGGCTGACACGCGATGTGCAGCCTTCGCCTGCTGGTCGGTCACGATATCAGCACGGTGGTATGCCGCCCCACGGAGTCCCTGTATAAAACATGGCACGCGCGCCAAATTACACCGATGGTGAATCAGCGCCCTCAGTAGCAGCGGTGCCTCAGTCAGGAAAATTCAGCATTCCGTGCCTGTACTTCAAACGGCGACGAAAGACCGAGAACGCCAAGCTCCAGCGTTGCAAGCTAGGACTAGGGGAGAGTGGGGTAATTTGGCCGCTTTTTTTTAAATACAATATAACTTAAAATTGACGACATATTTCTGCATTTTCTCAACGCTGGCAGGTGTCGCATTCATTTTACTTTACTGGACAGTGAGCTTGAAATGATAGAGTAATTACTTATATTGAAATTGTGACGTATTACAAAGGTCTGCAAGGCGGCCAAATTGCCCCACTAGCAGGGTTATTTGGCCGGGGGTGTGGGGTATATTGGCCGGTGTTAGTTTGCGGTCGGGATTTTCTGTTATATTGCGAGTCAGCTTCAGATTCAGCAATGACGGTGTCCTATGACGCATTTGCCGCATTTTGGAGGTTGACTCAGGGGTCACAGGGGTCAAAATAGCCAAATTAGCGGCTCTAGATGCGATCACAGTTTTTTTCCGAATAACTTTTGAAGTAATCAAGCTAGGCCAAAACTTCGAGTACCATCGTAATTCTCTCGTCAGTCCGCATCGAAAGATATATGTGTTGACCTTGAGAAGTCAAGGTCAAAGGTTGACCTCAGGTCACGTTGCATCAGGTCGCTCGACCTCAAGGTTACGTGATTTCAAGGTCATCATGCATATCATTCGATGCGCCTTGGCGAGCTGAACAGAATGAGACCATTTGGGCGGCTGTACCATTTTTATGCAAGGATTTATTAGCAAAAAACGTTTGGTAACCTTTGATGATGTCACATGCTCTTACAGTTGACCAATCGAAAGTAAGGCATCGAAGTAGTCAAAGTTGGTCATGAATCATGTCATTTATGGTACAATTGACCATGAAAACTCGGCCGTCCCAGCATAGTGACCATGAGCGCACCGGCCAAGTTGCCCCGCTAGTCCCGGCCAAATAACCCCATATTGCCATTCTGAAAATTTTTGTATATTAAGTCATCACGGCTATACGGAATTAGATAAAATTTCTCTTGGAACCGCTGAACACCCCCAAGAATGGCGCTATAATGTCTGAATTCGTTTTTAGCCCAAACACTACATGTTATACAACTTTGTAAACAGAAGTAAAAGTTACCATTTTCTAATGAAATTAACCCGCGCCGTGCTGGGGGGGGGGGCGTTTTTACGCCCCCCCCCCCCTCAGGTTTTTCGCGAATATCTCAAAAACGGCGGCGCGCAGCGCCGCCGTTTTTGGTACACGTGTTCCTACATCATTTCCGCACATGTTGTGAAAATTTCAGACCTAGGCCGTTCAAGGTCAGGTCACCAGGTCACGTCAAGTGACCTTACCTCAGAAAAAGTTCAAAGGCTCGCTATAGCTACACCGACTGAACGATCACTTTGAAACTTTCAGCGATTGATATGAGTAACAGTATGTATAAAATGTATATCTCGGATTTTTGATATCTGTGACCTAAGGTCAGGTCAATTTTGCGACCTCTCCATTATAAGTCAATGGGAGAAAATTGAAACGCGCCTCTTTTGGACGAATATCGTTCAAAACGCTCTCAAACATCGGTTCATAGGTAAACATGACACACTGAATAGGAAAAATGCACCTGTGACCCCTCTGTGTGCCCCTGAGGTCATCTCAGGTCATGAACGGTCGCCAGCAGTTTTTTGGCTATAACTTTTGATAGAGACGTGCTAGAGCGGTGAAAACACGTCAGATGTGTTCAGCTCGACGATACGGATCGACTGATATGCAACATGACCCTTTTCGGTCAGGTCATGACCTTGACCTGAGGTCAAATTTTCAAAATGACCTTTCAAGGTCAACAAATAGTTCATTCGACGCGTCTCGACGAGAGGAACACGATGCTGGCAAAAGTAATGTCATGGCGCTTATGAGTCAAAAGTTATTGACGAAAAAACGTTTTTCGTAAAAACGGCTATTTTTGGAGTTTTTGCCCTCTGGAGGCTAAACCGTTGACCTGAGGTCAAATCTGAGAACATTACTCAGAAAGGTCTGTAAAAGGGCTATCGAATGCGCTTTTCCGCGGCGCTGTAGCTCTATCGGTTCCCGAGATAGCCGTTGGCAGTTTCCAAAATGTTGAAATAGTCAACATTTTACCTTTGGTGACCTCTGGTGACCTGACCTTTGACCTGAACCAAAAAAATGACCGAAGTGTTTTCGTCCTTATTTTTGACGCTCTTTCGATTGCCGCTTACCGCGTGTCGCTACGTGGCCCAGGAGCCGAGTTAGACGGGGGGGCGTGAAAACGCCCCCCCCCCCCCAGCACTCGGCGGAAAGTTCAGGCCACCAGCACGGCGCGGGTTAACGTTTTATTAATTTTGAATAAAACTACGAGGGGCAAAGTTTTGACATTTGTCCTCCAGTTATTTCTACCCTTGACAAATGAATAGAGACTAGTTATTTCACTCACTTTTATCAGACATCGTACAGGTGGGGGCGGCCAATTTACACCACCGGCCAAATTACCCCACTCTCCCCTACCTATAATGTAAAATAAATGCATTCCTGTACGCCGCGTTACTGTCAAGTGATCTCAATTAAAAAATAACTTTTCGAATCAGAACCTTCACATCTTCAGGAACAAAGAGTTTTGAATGTCACATTTGTTTCAATAAGTAGGTTAAATAGTTCAATTTTTGATAGGCAATGACAAATACCTATATACTCCAGAAGTGGAGATCTCGGGGGGGGGGGGGTCGGGGGGTCAGGACCCCCCTGAAAACGAATTACTGCTATGTAAGTCAATGGTACTGCATCCAGCCGGCCTCCATCTGCCCGGCCTGGACCCCCCCCCCCTGAAATTTTGACAGATCTCCACCCCTGATTTACTCCCTAGATGTGTTTAATTAAATAGAATATTGGTATCGAATTCCAATCAAGACAAAGGTATTACGACAGAAAATTGTTTAACCCGCGCCCCACTGGGGTCTGCGTATAACACGCCCTACTGGGGGGGGGGGCTATTCATAGCCCCCCCCCCCTCCTAACTCCGAAACTACTGGGCCGATCGTCAAAATTCAAACGGCGTCTGATAGCCCCGGAAAAACTGTCGAGCGAAACCTAATTTCATTGACCTTGAGGTCACCGATGACGTCACAGGTCAGGTCAAAGTAAAAATTATTAGCATTTTGGCTTGTTCACGTTTTGGGCT